TCCTCCGGATAAAATAATCAATTATGACGAAAGCAATTTGAGCGATGATCCAGGACGATCAAAAGTCCTTGTGAGAAAAGGCACTAAACATTCTGAGAGGTGTTTAGATAGTTCAAAAATGAGCACTTCTATAATGGTTGCATGCAGTGCGAGTGGCATCTTACTGCCACCCTACATTATCTATAAAGCCGAACATCTTTATGATTCATGGACAGAAAGGGGTCCTAAAGGAGCAAGATATAATCGAACTAAATCTGGATGGATGGATGCAAGAGTGTTCGAAGATTGGTTTGATTCGATTATCATCCCTTATTTTAAAAAACTTGACCCTGGACCGAAAGCACTAATAGGAGATAACCTTTCTAGTCATATTTCTCAAAATGTTATCGAGAAATGCAGAGAAAATGACATAAGGTTCATTCTACTCCCACCCAATAGCACTCATTTGTGTCAGCCACTTGATGTAGCTTTCTTCAGACCAATGAAGGCTGCTTGGAGGAAGCAGTTGCTGCAATGGAAATTATCAAATAAAGGAAGTATACCTAAGGCACAATTCCCATCGCTCCTGAAAGAAACCCTGGACAAATTGAGCGATAGTCAAACTCAGATCATACAATCAGGTTTCAGAGCGACCGGGATTCATCCTTTGGATAGAACACAGGTCCTTAAACGACTTCCTGGTGGCAAGGTTTTGAAAGAAAATGTTTTTACTGAGGCACTTACTAAACATTTACGACAGATGAGATATGGCAAAGAGAATAAACAGCCCGACAAGAAGAAGAAGCGACTTATGGTTGAACCTGGACAGAGCATTTCAGGACATAATGAAAATAGTGATGAGTCCGATGAAAGCGAAACAGAAATTTCGCTTCATGACTCAAATTCTTCCATAGGTGAAGAACAGTTCTCTGATGATTCAGACGAAGGAGAAACTATACGGGGAACAGAGAATACTAGCGGAGAGGAAGTAGTGGCGGAACCAGAAAATACCAGCTCTGACGAACCCATAGAAGAAACATCAGAAAATAGTAATGAGCAGAATAACGCTCCTGCAGAATCTAAGAATTTCGATGATGAATCAGATGGTGACATTGTGGTAGACAGTTTCGTACTGATTTGTTACGATGGAACATATTTCCCTGGTAAAGTTCTCAGCATCAACAATGAAATATATACAGTGGAACATATGACCAGATATGGAACATATGGGTGGCGCTGGCCAGACAGAGCAGATATCTTGGATTACCAACTAGACGAAATTCACAGAAGAATTCCTCAACCTCGACTGATAAACAAGAGAGGAACGTATGTTTGTCCAGCCGTGAAAGAACTGAACGAGCAACAAGACTGACGCGAATTATTGTATCCATACCTGCTTATTGTGATCATAATAGGTTCCTGATGAGAATAATTTTTTAAATTTTTTTTTTATTACCTAGTGTTTTTTTTTGTTAAGAATTATGGTATTCTAGAGATTTTTTCGAGTTTTTTTTATGAAATGCTTCAATAACAAGCTGAGGAATATAATATATTACCTTCAAAATATTTTATTTATTCCGTTACTTCATCGCAAACTAATTCTGGATTGATTTATTTGACCCTAAAACAAATAAACGTGTTCCAAGTATGCCCACAAGTCGGTAAATTGACAACAACGGGACTTTTGTATCACTGTTCCAAGTTTCCAGATCAGCGGGTAACTTGGAACAGCTATATTTTTTTAAAATATCATCCAAATGACTGAACATGCGAAATTGAATATTTGTATAATTATAGTTTATCAACTCATACATCTTTTATGATAGTGCAAAATTCCCTACCATGGTCAATAACTTTACCGCGTATATTTGAATCTGAAAATTGTTCCAAGTAACCCCATTCTACGGTATGTAAATTGAAAGGAAAATTGTACAAAATGCCCTGATTTTCGGAAATAAAGATTTGTACAGGGAATTTGGTCGTTAAAATTCACTATAACTACATGTAGGTATTTTCAGAACATATAATTTGTTATTTTTGAAACTTAAGTGGTTGGAAAAAAAATATTGTGTTTCATTCGTACAAAAAATGCGTTTTTGGGACTCATAAGATTGCCGTACTCCGCTACGCGTCGTCCGGCAACCTTCTTATTCGTCCCAAAAACAGTCATTTTTTGTACTAATGAAACAAATAACTATTTTTTTATACACTCCTCCTATTTTGAACGATGCTATTCTACATTGTATCATTTTTCTAAGTAGTAATACAAGTACTGCGAATGTATTATTTCGAATGAGGAATTGAAAACAATATCCCATAATATCACCCTCATATTTTAGGAACTTTCAATATTGTTCAATAGTCTTCCGTAATATCACCTGGTACTCTTCTGTTCTACATAAAATTGACTTGTAGTACGTGGGGTACTGGGCACTATTCTGAAGAAAATGTTCGAAACTGATTGCCTGCTTTCGATATGTTTCCACGAAGATTATTTTTATGCCTAATCCTAATGAGGTAGGTACTACCAGAGATTATACAAATTTCTGGTACTACATGTACAAACTGGGCTACCAGAAAACATTGAACGTAGAGAACTGAGTACTATTCGGAAGAAAATCTTCGGAACTGTTTTTTTCTTCATACACAAATTCTCCTATTTTGAACGATGCAATTTCACTTTGTACCATTTCTCTTTGCAGTACTGCGAAAGTATCATGTCGAATTAAAAATTGAAAACAATCTCCCATAAAAATCTTCTCTCATTTTAGGAACTTCTTATATTTTTCAATATTCTTCCGTAATATCACCTGGTACTTTTCTGTTCTGCATAAAATTGACTTGTAGTACGTGAAGTACTGGGTAATATTCTGAAGGAAATTTTCGAAGCTGATTGCCGATTCACACAAAGGTTGACAACATAAATATGGACTTGGCAACAATTCTCGAATGGGGATCCAATAACTTGGTAGATTTCAATGCAAACAAAACACAGGCATGCCTTTTCTCTAGAAAAGCCGATCTCACCTTCTGTGATATGCTACTTTGTACTCTCCTGTCCAATATACAGGGTTATGATAAAGTAATGCACAAAATTCATAAAACGTACAACGATCACTTTTGAAAGAAAAACACGTCAAACTGTTCTTTTTATTATTCCGCATCTTTTGACATAAGTTACAAAAATAACACGTCAAAGTTGTCAAAGTTATGACGTCATCAACAATTGTTTTTAATGGAAAGCCAAGATTTTTATTACACAATGTGATAGAGCTTGTGTTTTTACACAAGGGAAAAATAGTTGCAGTAGGGCTCACATAAGAAAAAAATCATAGCTTCCCATTAACGTCTTGATGACGTCATAACTTTGACAACTTTGGACGAGTTATTTTTGTAACATGTCAAAAGATGCGGAATAAAAAAAACAGTTTGACGTGTTTTTGCATTTTTTTCAAAAGTGATCGTTGTACGTTTTATGAATTTTGTGCATTACTTTATCATAACCCTGTATAGTTGGCCTGTGTACGTAGAGTACTGGGTACTATTCTGGAGAAATTCTTCAAAACTGTTTGTTTTTCTGTTCATACACTCTTCCTATTATGAACGGTGCAATTTTACATTGCATAATTTTTTATGCAGTAGTACAAGTACTGCGTAAGTGTCATTGATATTGTTCAATATTATTTCGTTATATCACCAGGTACTTTTCTGTTCTACATATAATTGACTTGTAGTACGTGGAGTACTGATGGGTAATATTCTGACGGAACTCTCTTCGATGTTGATTGCTAATTTCGGGACACCCTGTATAATTGGCCTGTGCATGTATGTAGAGTACTGATTACTATTCTGAAGAAAATCTTCGAAACTGTTTGTTTTTTATGCACATTTCCTATTTTGAACGATGCTATTCGGCATCGCATAATTTTTCTGTGCAGTACTACAAAAGTACCTACTTCGTAAATATTATTTTGAATATCTGTTTCGAATAAGGAATTGAAAACAAATCTCCCATAATATTACTTTCAAATTTTAGGAACTTTTGATATTGTTCGATATTCTTCCGTAATATCACCTGGTACTTTTCTGTTCTACATATATGATTGACTTGTAGTACGTGGAGTACTGGGTGATATTCTGAAGGAATAAATAAGTCTTATTGGTATATAGGTATATATTCATTCTACCATCAAGATAACCATCACATAAATATTTCTTGGTACTTTCTGATGATTATGTTCTATACATATAATCGATCTGTAGTAAAAAACTACTTTCATCGATTTACTAATTATTTCATTCATACAGTCGAACAACAATTCTCATTCATATGTATGTGAGTGTACCCTTACGAGGGGAGGTATTAACTTTGGCGTTCGAAATGCCTGTCTACAAATAAGGAGGGTGTCATATCTTCAAGGTATAAACTCTGAGGTATAAACACAATGAACAGTATGGTTTTATATATACAAGTTCTTCAAATTATTCATGCACTGAAGGAAAGCCACAGTGATGGCCCATTCGTCAAATTCGGAAACAAGCTAGTAAGGTCGGGTAAAATTCAGGTAAAAAAGGTAATTACTACAGTCTATAAGAGCTGGTTACATGAGTTTCAACGTGACTCGAGACAAGCACAATTTTCTACTGGAATGATTCCATTTTTATGATGTGGAATGCTGATAAGACGCGCGTCTGCCTTATGGTCGGTCTGGGGGACTTCTTATGTGGGTGAGAGTGGGGAAAGTTACAGAATTTCGAAAGTAACCAGTTCAGTCACAATTATGTTCAAAATGTTCATCTATCAATCTCTTACATATATCTGTCGGTGAACCAAACACCCTGTATGATCGGGGAGCCCAAGGAATATACGATTCTGGGCGCCACTGGATTTTCATCCATCTTCTGGCCAGGTGCCAAAGGGTTTATGACGGGTTGACGGGTAGACGCTAACTGCAGAAACGTACCAAGATGATATGAAAAAGAAGAAGAGCAATATAACCTTCAACTTTCTGAGGTTAGATTGGACAGCGGAACTCTGAGATCGGATCGTGATTTTTCTGGTTCTGGTGCTAAGACTACGAAACGAAGTAGTGACCTGTGAACTGGAGTACCGTTGAAATTGATGTGATTAACCAAATAATGTACCACTTATACAAATCTAACTCACGAAGCATTCGCAACTTTTGTACTATTGTTAAAAAACCACCACTGCAAAGTTCCACAGGCAATCAGAGACTTGTGCCTTTGAAGAGCACTACATCAAAAATTGATTCCAGTATATTGCCCCCCAAAACCAAAGTAGATGCTGCTACAATAGCGTTACTAGAACGACTGTCTCTTGTTGATTGTGAAAGCAGAGAAGCCATCAAAACATTGGAAGCTGCATTGGAATTTGCTGATCAGATATTGCAAGTTGATACAACAAATATTGAACCCCTAGTTTCTGTCTTAGAAGATAAGTAAGTGATGTCAGTAGAAATTTGTATGCCCATGAGTACCTAACTATTGGACTTGATATTATGTTTTCAGACCTTTGCATTTGAGAGAAGACAAGGTTAATGAGGGTAATTGTAAAGATAGTATACTAAAAAATGCAGCTTTAACTGAAGAGGATTATTTTGTGGCACCTCCTGGAAATATACCTTTAGAAACTAGAGAGGATCTTTTGACTGATATTGAAGATATCAATCATGCTAAATAAAATACTAGAATTAGCATCTAAAAATGGTCTTCTCAAAAAAACTCTTTTGCCCAAAGTTAAGATAGATCAGTTCAACATTGGGCCTATTGGTTTACTGTTGCAAAACAACCTGAAGTTGGAATGGTTTTACAATGTCATTATAAACAAAGACATTACAGTATTTCCAAGTGATAATAACATGTCTGACACCTTTGATTATGCCAAAGATTTCTGTTCACAGAAACTGCCATTTGGAATTGCTGAAATGAAGGCCTATAAAAAATCTTATAACTCTGATGAAATCATTGAATATTATAAGAAAGCTATAGATACTGAAAAATTGTGTTTTGAAGATTTGCTCAGACATGAAGAAAATATGTTGATGAAATGTACTATTTTTATTACACCAAATAATTCTACATCATTTTTCCACCAGTGGCAGAGACAGAGAAGAATGTGGTGGCGTAAGGTAGATTTTTTAACAATAATCAAAATCAAATGCTTTCAAGATTACCAAATTAAGAAGTTCTCAGTTTTCAGCCTCACCAGGTAAGTATTCTTTGAGTGATATCAGAAGTGAAGAGGATGGTACACAATTTGTAGAAATATCTGCAAAGTATGACTGGGGATCACAATCTCTAGAGACTCTGGTTCTTGATAAACAAGACAGAAATTATAGCAGCAATCAACTACAGGTGATAATCAAGAATACAACTTTGATATCATGAATATCAAATAAATAAAAATTACCAATTAGGAGAAACTGCAATCATTATCCATTATTATTTTTCAGTTCAAAGAAAAGAAGTTCATGCAAGCACACACAATAACCAGTCAGGTTAATTTATCTACAATACTCCTTAACTCAATTTGTGATGCATTTGATGAAGCTCCATTCCAAGACAAAAAGAGGCTTTTGTTTAGATTTCATAGAAAACTGGCTCCTTATAAAATCAGCTTTGCATTATCTGGATCCAGTGAGTACATTTTCCAAATTAAAACAAACTCTATAGAATAAGAAGTAATTTTCAAAAAAATGCAGAGCCAACATTTTTACATTTGAAGAAAAATTAACCATGATAATAGCATAGAAAAAAATATCAGGTAAATACTTGATTTTCCTTTTTGTAATACTTTGTGAGTACTATTTCAGCATCTCAAGTTTTTGTGATATTTTTTCTTGGTCTTTTCTCACTATAAAATAGGTACATCATGTCTTGTAGATCAAGCATCACTAGCAGAACTCAATGATCTAGCAATGTACTTATGCAAACAGCTCAGATCAAATCACATCTCAACTTTATTCATACCAAATTCATCAAGACTGACTCTAGACTCACAATACCAACAATATGACCAACTGGGAATTCCCTACACTGTGCTACTAAATGGAAATACCCTGAAAAATGGTATAATTAGCTTGAGGAGCCGAGACACAACTTTAAAGGTAAAATCCTATGTCATGATCTGTGCAAGAAAGTAACAAGGAAATTCAATTGTGCCTTTTGAAAATGAGTGATTTTTTTAGGAGCAAATTCATGTGACAGAGCTAGTGCCCTATGTGGAAAAGTTGTACAGAAACTATTAATTAATGTAAATATTTATGAGGTGATCTATTCAACATGGTTAATATGTTTTTTTTAGGGTAATACAACAACCTTTGAAATACTATGATTTTTTTTATTTTACTTATCCTTCTTTTTTTTTTGTTATTACTGACTTTTTATATAAAATGTGCATGGAAAGGCGGATTTATGCAACAGTGAATTCAAATTTTGCATAGTTTTAACACGTTCGCGGACATTGACGTCATTTCACGTCATTGACTTTAGTTTCATCAGGACACCAAGATAAAGTCAGGTGTGCTCAAATTGTCACAGTGATAGAATGAACACTTTTACACGTAGAGAAACGCAAAATGTAGCTTCAGAATCACATTTTTCCAAAGAATTAGAAATACTGAGAAAAAAAGCTGCGTCAAAATAACGTCATGACCCGTGAAAAGCATAGTTTATTTTCAAAATGACAGTGACGTCATATACCGCATGTAGAAATAAAATAAAAAACAGTGTATTTCGAAAGGAAAAAACATGTTTTATATGAAGAAACTGAAACTATAACAACTGAACAATAGGTACAAAATGCTTTGGTAGAAATATCAAAAAGGGATAACACTATACTTATTCATGCCAATCCTGGAAACATTTTCCTACACAAAGAGGTGGCTTGCCTATGCAATCCCGACACTGCCAAGCAGTTTCTTTTCTTTTTTTCATCATATAACACTGCTTACAGCGCTTATAATATTTTCCATGTTTTTTAGAGTCTTCTGGTATAGGTATGGCCTCAAGGACATGACCAGTATTCTTCCTAGAATTTTTGGATGGTATGGACTTAGTTCCTTTCGGTATAGTTTTGACAAATTCTCTACCATCTTTTTGATCAGGTGAAATCCCGAGTAATAATTTGATTACCTCATTTCTAAACTCCTTGAACGATTTTTTTTCTTGATTGCTCTCATTATGTAAATAGTGCGAGTTCCACACGGCTATGTCCAGTAGGTGGAATATGACTTTTTTGTGCCATCTGATAGTTTTTCTAGGGCAGGAATAATAACTGATCATTTGATCAGCCCTGTCAATACCTGACATGTTTTCATTGTAACGACTTATTTCTACTGGCTTTGTTTTTTTCTTGCCAAACCTGTTAGTCGTCTCAATCAATTCAGGTTGATAGGCTGTTGTAATAGACAAAACATCACGTTTATCACGCCATTTGGAAACATACACATTGCCATTTCTTTTCCATACGTGCTGTCCAGGTTTCAGTTTAGCCAGGGTTATTTCTTTCGGATTACCTTTTCTGTTGGAACGTAATGTACCTGTACTATGCGTCTTCCGTTGCAATAACATTTTTGATAAAACAATACTGTTGTAAAAGTTATCCATATATACATGGTGACCTTTATCCAGGAATGGCTCCAGAAGCCTTAGCACTAACGAGTTCAACTTTGAACTTCCCCTGGCATCTTCTCTATTCGATTTACCTTTATAAATCTCCATATTCAAGACGAAACCATCGTTTGAGCACAGTTCATAGAACTTGATTCCATATTTGCTCTTTTTATTTTTTATATAGACCCGAAATTTCAGTCGTCCTCGGAAAAGTAGGAGTGACTCATCTAAAGATAATGCCTCGGGAGGAGAAAATATGTTTTGACTTGATCGTATAATTTTATTCAGTAACCAGCTGACTTTATGAAGAGGGTCGTCTTTATTTTTCATCATCCGTACAATTGAGGCATCTCAAAATTTGTTCAAATCTTCGCCCTGACATGGTAGCAGGAAATATAGGATGATAATATAGTGGATTGAAAGAAAATAAATCTCGAATGGAACGAAATTTCAATTGGCCAGCCAAAAGACACAAACCAAAAAATTTTTTCAATTCATCGGTGGATATTTTTCGGAATATTTTGAACCGCTCGTGTCTCGTTTTAGGTCTATTAGATACGTTGAGTGTTTCACCATATGCATTTGTTTTTTTGAGGATATAATCCATTACATCTCCATCCCAAATCAATTCCAAAACTTCTCCTGGAGTCTTGGATTCAATATTTTGTGTAAGCCCAACAGAAGCATGGTTGAACGTAAAGTCTAAAGGGGTACCTAAGGTGTCTTCCCATACATTTTCTTCTTGCTCAATTGGACGATCAGAATCGAGTGAACTTTCGCTGCCGGCTTGTTCCAATTCGGGCTGTGCACCTGAATTTTGGGATCGTTTTTTTCGTTTTCTTCGAGACGGACCGGCTAGAAAAAAGACAGAAAGATATATAAAATTACATTGAGTCTTCAAAAAATAAACACTCACCCTCATTCGAATCGCCGCTAGAATATGAAGAATAACTTTGAGTGTATTCGGGATCATCTATTGAATCGTCAGTACTGAATGGATCGTGTGTGCTTTCAGCATCCAATTCTGATATTTCATCCTCGGTCTCAACTTCATCAAACCACGTAAGTAGCTGTTGTTCTTCCTGTTTTTCGTCCATTTTACGTATGCATCCAGCCAACCGTTCAGTACACACACTCTGACAATATCTAGATCTGAACTAAATAGCAGAAACGCGCCAAACGACTTTCGACTTCCTGACCATTTTTTACCCCCATCAACGCAATTCCTCAAACATTTTTCAACACGAGGTGTCTAGAAGGACACTTCACACACTTACATACAGAAAATTGACGTGATATCGCGCTAAACGTATTCACAGTGCATCAGGCATTTGACGGCAACTGCCGTCACTGCCCGGTCAGAATAAATAGCTGTTGCGGCTTATGCCGCTTGTGTCCATGCACACACATACCATGAAATATGAGTGTCCGCGAACGTGTTAATGGGCTTATATCACAAAAAAAATGTATTTCATAATTCCATAGAACTCACTAGCTAGCTAGCTCACCACCTCAAACCGTTTCTTGCTGTGAGCTCCCTATGTTTTATAAAAAATTATTGAAATCCCCGATTTTTCGGACCTTTGAAAACGAGGCGATGATGTGACGTCAAAACCCTAATACTGAAACAAGACTATTCCAGACAGAGATGAATGATACATGATTTCTGACAGAGTGAATTAGAGCGAGATCACAGTTGAAAGAATTAATATATCAGTTGCCTCAGTCTCCATTGGGCGTTGGGTATTTTCTTTTAACTATCAGGAGATGAGGTTTCTACGATTCTACGTCATAAGAGGGTCTGTTTTCAGATGGTACTATTATTTATGTCCAAAAATAAAACATTCCAGTTCTACTAAGGTGTACACGCCCATTCTGAGCATTTATTCTTGTATCATTTTTTTGTCTTAAATATTTGAGGTATTTATCCAGAAAATCAAAACTTGACAAGCATAGAGATTACATGAGAATTGGTTGGTTCTTATCAGAAATGGAACTCATCAACATAATATACAGGGTGAAATTCTGGTGGTAACCCATCCTCAATATCTTTCTTCCAGTGAATATGAAAAATCGAGAAAACATATGTCAATTTTATTTTCAAGGGGGAAACTCAAATTGAATATGTTTAGCTCTCTTGGTTCAACCCCCTATAAGAGGGGTAGATGTTACCATTAAAATCCCAAATGGATCCTCAATATCTTTCTTCCAGTGAATAATAAGAAAAATCGAGAAAACATATGTCAATTTTATTTTCAAGGGGGAAACTCAAATTGAATATGTTTAGCTCTCTTGGTTCAACCCCCTATAAGAGGGGTAGATGTTACCATTAGAATCCCAAATGGGAAGGAGAGTCAAGGCACATCATTTTTACGGTACCCTAGTTTATCATTTTTTGTTTAGCAGTTCCCGAAAAATTCCGTGTCAATTAGAAAACTTTCCACTCATAATATCTTCCTTCCAGTAAATGAAATGAAAAATCGAAAATACCCGTCATTTTCATTTCTATGGAAGACACTTGAAATGCATATTTTTAGCCCTCCTAGTGGGTTGAACCAAGAGGCCTAACACTAATCATTTTAAGTGTCCCCCTTGAAAATAAAATCAACCTCTTTCTTGATTTCCCATATTATTCCCTGCAAGGAAGATATTGAGGGTTGGAAGTTTTCTAAATGTCACTCTGTATGCTTTCTCAATTTACTATTTTCAGATCATGTAAGCTTAGATCATCTGCATGTAAGCAACAAACTACCAATACATTTTTCAGTTATCAGTGGAGCATGTGCAGATTCAACACAACTGCATGTGCCTTTCCTAGGTTTATGCTCATGTTTAGAACTAATACTTGGACTGGCTAAGACTAGCAGCAAAAGTTTCATAAATTTGCCAAAATATATGGAATGGTAAATAATAAAATAATTGGTTTCAGCATTGTCTGCTGAATATGGAGAGACAAAATCTAGTGAGCTGTAGTATCTGGTCTGCTGAAACAAGGAAAATCACCTACAGGTTTCTGTAACCGATACAGTATTGCCGCCATACGGTCTACTCGAGGAACACTCATTTCAATTGTTTTCCTGTCAAACCTACATAACCTTGAAAATCGTAAACGAGTTTAGCAGCTCCCTCAGCGGTGCTCTCGGCAGTCTCGGCCGGAGGCGCAGTTTGTTCAGTATCACGACATAGTCACTCAGTAACTCGAAAATTAAAAAAATCATTTCTTCTCAAAATGGTTGCTAGTTGCTACGGACACAACAACAGTCCCCAATTTCGTAATGTTCAACACCTGAATTAAATGAGAGGTAGAATCAGTAGTATCGATAATTAGCTTTTGATCAGGGCTCGGGATTATCTTACTAGTAATGAGCCTGTAACACTCAATATCGAATGTATTCACTTATGTCGCAAAGAAATATCACTTGGGAATACATTGATAGAGACGGTTTCACACTTTCTGGTAGGAACAATTGAGAGACAAAGTTTTGTAACAAATTATCAATCAGAATAAACTACTTCAATACTGGGAGCACAACAAAACTATATCTATTACTATTAACGAAAGGAATACTAGAACAATGAGAATTGAAGAAGAAAGAGTTTTTTAGGAAAAAATACCATACAAGTCAGGCATGACAGCTCTTAACACTGACAACTTACATAGCCACAAATTTCGAAAATTTTCTAGAAAAAAGTGAAGATCATTTCGTTCCATACAGCAACATCCTCTGGTGGTCATACACTCAACTGAGCTATAGAGCAGACCAGTAGTTACAGCTCACTATATTTTTCTCCATATTTAGCAGTTACAGCTCACTAGATTTAGCAGACAATGGGTTTCAGCGTTTCAGGTTTCTCTATTTGTATATCAGAATTTTAAATTGTTGTAATCAAATCCTCACAAAGGAACTGCCTAATAGGACCTTAGGTAAGGAAAAAACCAAAATGGAAATACTAAAATTATAAACAAGAAAAAATAACTATATAGATTTCAACAAATAATATCACTATTTACAATATGTGTAAATCTTTTTAAAATAATAAATAATTATTGTATAAACCCATATAATAGATATTCTAAATGTAATTCCCAAATTTCAAAATATTGCCAGTGTAAATACCTACAATGGTAAAATTCAAGAAGTCCAATGTCCAGTTCAATTACTACTCATCTCATTTGTCTCAGAAATATAATTAGAATCACTATCACTAGTAACCTCTGCTTCAGTGGTGAAAAGAGTCTGCTCAAAGAACCCATTCACAGCATCCTCAACTTTCTTAGAATGTACTTTGGCATGTATATGCAGCTGTTGTTTGAATTTGAAGCTCTTATTGCAAATGTCACATTGAAAAGGTCTCTCATCAGTGTGTACCTTCAGGTGAACCTGCATTTGCTGCTTCAATTTGAAAGCCTTTCCACAAAAGCTGCAATCGAAGGGCCTCAAATCATCATGCACCCTGCTATGCATCTGCAGATGCTGCTTGAATTTGAAGGCTTTCTCACAAAAATTACATTTGAATGGTCTTTCATCTGAGTGGGTCTTAGAGTGGTTTTCAAAGTGTTGTTTCAGCTTGAATCCCTTCTTGCATACCTCACAAACAAATGGTTTGGCATCATCATGTACTTTGGAATGGTTATGAAGTTGCTGCTTCAACTTGAATGACTTCTGGCAGATATCACATTCAAATGGCTTTATATCTATGTGCACCAAGTAATGTGTTTGCAACTGTTGTTTAGTTTTGAAACTTTTTGCACAACTTTCACAAATAAATCGTTTCAGATCATCTTCTGGATCTTCACTTTTGCTTGAACTGGATTTTCTAGGCCTACCTTTGATTATTGTCTTGTGTTTCGCAATATGCAATTTTAAGTCTTCTGAGGTTTTGCAATAGACATTACACTGGGAGCACTTAGAGTCTTCATTTGCAAAGAAGCTATGGAGAATTATGTGAGACTCCACATGGTGCTGTGCCTTTTCTTTATCCTTAAATCTTTTATTGCACACAGGACATCTGAATTTGAAAACTTTGTGATCAGTTTCAATGAATGATCCTGGTAAGGGTGTTGGTGGTGAAGTTTCAATTTCAACTTTTAAATATGTTGAGAGTGGATCATCTGAAACTGAATTTCCTGTTTCTATTTGGTGAATGGGTTCTATGTAATTACTTGAGTTAGGAGTTGCTGAACACTCCATTTCAGAGGTTGCTGAACACTCCATTTCAGGAGTTGCTGAACACTCCATTTCAAATTGACAATTAGTTGAAGAAATGCACTGCCCATAAATTCTGAAAAGTTGGTCTTGCTTCCCAGATAAATAAGTTATTTTTTCCATTTTTTACATGTTTACTCATTTCACTGTGGGATGTGTTATCAGTACTGAGTTGGTGCATGATCCATAGGAAGCTGGGGATTTTCTATAATTAGAATTCTGTCCAATTTTCAATAGGGTGTAGTATAGACAAAATCCAATCCAAAATTTTCAACTCCGAGATTTCATTCGATCGATTCGTCAATTTTTAATTTATTATCCAGAAAAAAACAAACATCGATTTGAAAGTTGACACGGAATGACACAATAACCTTAGATCATAACTACCGGGGCTAGATGAGCGCAACGTTGCCAGGTCATGAGAAAAATTCAGAAAACACAAGATTTTCACCATGCCCACTTTTCATACATTCCCACGATGCCCACCAGAACTATATAACTGTTACGTCAATTTACATCAAGGGACCCTATTTCTGTAATTCTTCTCGGTTGTGGAACTGTCAAAATTATTTACTTGTGTAGACTGATGGATCTATTAATTATTATTTTCTAAGTATTTCATACTCCAGGATTTTTTCGGTGCATTGTATACTCTTTTGCGGACATTGTGAGTTAACAGGCTACCAAGGTGCACATAACCCTATTTCAATTTATTATAGTGTGTGGTTGAATGGCCAAATGATCTCTTACTGTTGAGTGGTGATGAGCTAATTAAGTTCCTCAGGATGAGTTAGAACCAAAACCTTTATTTTTATTTGTTATAAAATTATTTGATTGTCATAAATTGCATCTAAATTGTATTGGAGCAATATCAAGACTGCTGAAGCTACGTATCAACTCCAGTAGCATCGGAGATGAAAACAGCTGACGCAGTTGCGATAGCGTCTTGGCTTCTTGGAATTGCTGGGGTCGTTGGAATGGTATTTCTCTTGATATAAATCCTCCCTCCTTAGAGAGATCCATACGGAGGGTGGATCTCCTATTGGTTATTCGTCTTCGTCGGTATCCATGATTCTTGAGGGCAGCTGGAGATGTTGAGTTTGCATTTCCTTCAGTGGAATGGAAATAGTTGGTGATGTAGCCAAGGGTTGGTTTTCCCTTGGGGTCAGACATCTGGCTCTGAAGATCTTTGAAAACCAATATATTGCCAATAAGGATAAGACGATATAAATTGGTATTGTCCATTGAAATGACAAATCTTGGGGTGAATTCTTCAACGTAATTTGTTGAATTTCTGCCTGCTCTCTTTGTAGCTTATTTATTTGATCCAAGGGTATGTCGTGGAGGTGGAGTTCTTGAAGATGACTTGGACTTGCTCTAGGGGTTTTCACTTCCGGTAGTAGTAGCGCCTGGCCTGGAATGATGTCTTCTGTGTTGGCAAAGAAGTGTTTTGTAGTTTGGAAACTGCAACCAGTTGGCACTTCGAGAAGGTAGGTGCCCTTAAGAGTAGCTAGGTCCGTTTTTTGACAATGAACCTTGACCTTTGTTTCGTAGGGAAACACAGCTATGTAGTGGACATTATTGATTGGCTGGATGATCTCGTGATCGATCTTGATTCGGACTGGTTCACATGTCGAAAGTTCATCGGCTTCCAGTTGAAGTAGGTGAAATACACAATCATTCTGGTCGGGTGCCTGGAGTTGATTATCGGTTTGACAAAAATACGTGGGGTGTGTATTTTTGCATCTCTTGTCTTCGTACTTGAAAAGTTTACTTCCCATGGCAAGGAAAGGTTTAGGTGGAACGAGAATGGTATTGTTCTTGGTGGGTACTGAGTATGAGTGGTAATAGGAATAGGTTTCCGGTAGCATGATAGGGAAGTGAATTATGAAAACAATCCTATCGTTTGAATAATAGGATTCTACTTTGAGTATGTCATAATATTTGTGCAAAGTTGAGAAATGATTTCCAAACATCAAGTTTCCCGATGGATAATTTTTCAATAAGACTTGTATAATAAATTCCAAATCTTCTATTCTTAGAATACTATAATGAATTGTTTCTAATTTCGCAAATGTAACCGCGTTTACTAAATTGCTTATTATTTCCGTTAAAACATTGAGTACGGCACTGATTTGATCTAAAGCATTCTTAGCTATGAGATACCCATTGTAATCAAACATCAATTCTTTTAATTCTGCATTGAGTTCTTTGATTTTTTCAGCAATTTGTATTTCGTTTTGTTTGATTGTAGATATGGTTTCATTATAATCATCAATTATTTTGCTATTCAAAGAAATTTGCTTGTTCAGAGTAGTCACTATTTGTTTTTGATTCGAATTCAAAGTCTCTATGGCACTATCATATCTTTTCCCGTCCTCTGCGTCGAGGTTTCCTGAAATGCTTTTGAAAATACTTCCAAGACCGTCAATAAGGCCTCGTTTTATTCTTTTAGTAGAGTGTAGGAAGTTAAATTTTGCTTTCGTTTGATCAAGTTGAAATAAAATATTATTTCGAATAGTTTTCAGTTCTTCATGAAAAATTTCGTTTTTACTATGAATTGTTTGCTGAATTGTTTTGAATTGATTCTCGATTTTTCCGAGTTCGATTCCGATTGGATTCATATCAAAATAATGAATAAAAGCGTGGTAGGTACTTGTTAATTTTGCATCTCCTAGCTTATATGGTAATATGCCAGGGTTGGATTCCAGGTTAGTCAGCTTGATTTCTTGTGTGGTCTTGGCTAGTGGAAGCACGAGGAGAAGCCTGCAATGGGACAATTTTCTGATTAGATAGAGGTCGCCTCAAATTACTCTTATGATAGGTGATAGTTTTGCGACAGATTTTACCAGGGTGGTTTTTGGTAAGTTTCACGGCCTGAATAGTTATTTTGTTGTTTTTCTTAAGAGGTCGAGACCTGAATTTGGGACAAGCTTTGTTTCGTGATCTAGTTTGATGATAGATCAAAGTACCTGGATCATAGGTGAGTGGATCGTGACGATCTACATTAATTTTTTCGAGAATGATCTCTTTTCGTTTGGACATTTGTTTATTGAGTTGTTTGTAAATTTCTCCTGTACATTCCTTGTGTTTACTGATGTAGTTTTCGTATAATTTTTCGTTGATATCTATGTCAAAGGGACTATTACTGTCCAAATGGCCAGTGATTATGTCTATAGGGCGTTGTTTTGTGGCTGAATGTATGGCGTGGTTATAGCCTAATACGGCGTATGGCATTTGATCAAGAATATTTAGATCTTTTCGCGTTTCTTGAACAATTCTAAGATGTTCGATGAGCGTTGAGTGAAATCTTTCAACGATTGAATTTGAGTTCGGGTTCCAAGCAGTGGTGTAATGAACTTGTATTTTATGTAAAGCTGTAAATTCTTGTATTACATTATTTTTGAGTTCAGTGCCCTGATCAAGTACTAACATTTTTGGTGTTCCATGATGGGTCATGAAGTTTATAAATCCTTTTGCTATGTGGATAGCAGTAAGTCCTGTCAATGGATATGCTTGCGCATATTTTGAAAATTTGTCTACTATTGTCAAAAATTTTTGATTTTTAATTGTGAATGTATCGGCATGTACGACTTCAAAAGGTTTGTTTGGAGTTGGTGTCAGTTCAAATTTCTGTTTTGGTGGGTTTCTGTCATATTTTAGTTTTTGGCATATTTCGCAATTATTGATGTATTTCGTGACTGTGCCTCTGATATTTGGCCAATAATAACGACGTTTTATTTGCGATTCGGTTTCGATTATTCCGCGGTGGTTAGTTTTACCGAGGTGGTAATCCTGAACAATTTCTTGCCTTTCGTCGACTGATGTCACGTCTTTCAATACGTTATTGCAAAGAATGATTTTAAATGCGGAGTTTTTAAACGTATTTCTCAGGACTTCGCGAAATCGAGGGATATATTCTCGTCGGTCCAAATTAATTGCAAACGTTTTCTTTGTCATAGTGAACTCTTTGAAAGTATTTATGATATCATTTTCAAAGTTATTAGAGGAAATCTGAATCTCCGTTCTAGTTTTATTTTCGAATAATCGCTTTATTCTAGGAACAACTGGAGAGTGTAATACTATTCTCAGAAATAACTGATTTTGGAAGTTGTTAATAGGTGTTTCTGAGATCGGGACTTCGTATACGGGGTTTTCTTGGCTAGTATGAACAGTTTCGTTATCACTATCATGAATTTCATTGTCCTGTTCGCTTTCTGTATTGGTATCATCTAAATTGGGGGATTCATCGATATTTCCTAATATTGATTCGTTATCTAATTCGAAATTTGGATTTACTGAAGTCGAGAATGGCTTTACTTTTGTTGACCTATTTTCATTACATTTTTCTGTACCGGTATATGAATCATTAATATTAATTTCGTTAATTGTTATCCGGGAGAGGGCATCGGCATTGGTATTGAGTGTTGCTTTTTTATAGAGAATGGTGTAATCAAACTCATCAAGTTTGAGTCTCCATCTTGCATTAGGATCTTTGATAGAGAAAAGCCAGTGCAGTGGTTTGTGGTCACTGTAAATGGAAAATCTCCGTCCATACAAGTAAGGCCGGAAATACTTGGTGGCCCATACTATGGCCAAAAGCTCTCGTTCTATCACACTATAATTTTGCTCCGCTTGATTCAACGTCCTTGATGCATATGCTACAGGTATATCTTGACCAACTGGTCCCTGTGATAACACAGCTCCAATGGCAAAGGCACTGGCGTCCGTGCTAAGGTTGAAAGGTAACGAAAAATCGGGATATTGAAGTATGGGGTCATTAGTCAACAGCTCTTTGCAAGTTTCAAAACATTGGATGTACTCAGGATTATTGATATCTATTTTACTTCCTTTTTTTAAACATGACGTCATGGATTTAGTAATTTTGGCAAAATCCGGAATGAATTTACGATAATACCCTAACAGACCTAGGAAACTTTTGATTTCTTTGGTAGTTTTAGGTATGGGAAATTTTTTAATAGCTACTATTTTATCGGGATTCGGTTTTATACCCTCAGTAGTTATAATATGTC